TAGATGTTTGGATAGGACCGACAGATTGTCAACAATTGTATCAGTATATAGTTCATTGATACTTGTAAAATGTAAAATGTGATTTTTATCTGAAATATATTTGGATGTTTTGAAATCAGCAGTGGAATGGATGTCTTAATAATCTCATAGATTCTCTGAAATGCATTGTTGTAAACAGGCTCCTATTGAGAGCAAAGTGTGTAAGGCTCCTATCTGAGCAAAAGAGACTTCCTAACAGCAAAAGAGCAAAGTTACATAGATTTATTATTCTTGCACTCCATCAAAATGTAACTTCCTAACAGTTGTTTGCAGTGTAGCATCTTGATCAACTCCGATTAAGAGACCTGTGTATCCTCCTAGTATGTATGGAGCAGCCATTGCAGAAGGATCAGCAAGTAAACTGAACTGTGGCATTGTGGAAGTAGCATATCCAGCTTGCACAAAAGGAGCATCCATGGCTAAAGATGGCCCTTCTTCTACATCGTTATTTTCCGGATTTTCACCTACAATGAAGCATATATATGATAATACAATATGATAATACAATATTTAAAACAGTGGGCAGATCGGTACCTTTTTTCTGACCACCCTTCTTCTTCTTCCCTGCCTTCTTTTCAACAGCATTTTTAAAACGTGTATTCTTTGGTCCCTTTATTACTTCAGGAATTCTAAAAGATATTACTCCATTTAATGGTTGCTTGACATTTTCATTTGGAATTGGAGGAACCTCATTAGATTTTTCACGCATCTCACTTAGATAAGTATCTGCTTCCAGGTTCAAGTTATGTATGGCTTTCTGCAATTTATCAAGAAGTTCTTTTGACCGAGAACACTTCAATGCAAGAGATGTGGCCTGTCGAGATATAAGTGCTGCATGTGTTTTCAAATCTCTCATCTTAGTTACTTGTTTCTCAATATAAAATCCACTTTTGGCATAGTTGGTCCATCTAGGCAGGATATATTGCGATGGCAAATTGTATACTCCATTTGTATTGAAGACTCTAAGAGCATGCTTGCACAATAACCCTGTACGATGTATGGTAGTTTCCAATTTAAACAACCCATATTACAGCTTACAATGTATAAATTGAAATGTAAATAGTATACATACCTATGGATTCAAACCTCCGACAAGAGCATCTAATGGTGGAATCTTCAGTGTTCAATACTACTGTTGCTCCACGGTCAGACTGCATATACTTAACAAAGAATGTTTTGTTTGTCCCCGTAGCTTCCAGGAAATCACAAGACAATGTAAACTGCCTCTTAAATTCTTCCTCAAACTCCGAATATATTCTCCTAGTATATGAATCAGATGCAGTAATCAACATAGGCAGATTTGGACTGTATGTAACTGGGCTCTTTCGGCGTGACTGAAAATCAGCATCCAACTCATTTGCACGGAGACTAACCGCAACCTTCTCACATTCTACAAGGAGTTTCGAAAGACCAAGTCTCCTACGAAATCGTTTCTTGAAAACATTATTCATACCTTCACTCCTCTGGGTCGAGTTCATGTCTGCTGTAAAAGAGTCACGATATACTGCAGCCCATTTTGCCCTCAAATCATACAGGTTTGCCATCCAAGAGTTATTCCCAAGATTGTATTTAGCCAACAATTCATGCCATTTCTCTATGAAGTAAGCCTCTGACTTGTCTTCGTACACACAATTTTTGAAATCTGTTAGTAAGTTGTTACCTTTCTTATCCGACTCATGAATTACATGACTAAGATGTTTAGCAGCATTTAAGCAAATATGCCACAAACAAAGACGGTGGCTTGTATTTGGGAATACATAAGCAAGCGCCCCTGCCATAGCCGCGTCTTGATCTGTAAAAATTGTGCTAGGGTGCTGTCCTGACATTGCCGTTAGAAAGGTTTTAAAAATCCAAACAAATGATTCAATAGTTTCATTAAATAGAAGTGCACACCCAAAAATTATTGTTTGCTTGTGATGGTTGCAGTCAAGAATCGGAGCAAAAGGCATTTCAAACTTATTAGTTTTAAAGGTGGTGTCAAATGTCACAGCATCACCAAAGCATTTGTAATCCATGATAGACTGACCATCTGCCCAAAAAAAATTTGCTATACGACCATCTTCCTTGTCTACCTGAAATGCATAAAAAAATGTAGGATCCTCTAACTGTTTATTTCTCAGATATTCAGATAGTGTTTGTGCATCATTGGCTTCTAAGTACTGTCTGCGCTCGCGACCAATCTTATTATTGCAATCCATCTTAGCAAATGGTACATTCTCTTCCCCTCCATAAAACTCCTTCATGAACTCATAAACTTGTGCTGGCTTCATTCCAGCTTCCCGGATTTGCCTAATTAATTTCCTGTCGGCCTCTATAACCTGTCGTTGGGACCTCAGCTTGTGTGCCTTATTTGGACTAGCAAGATAATGATTGTGCTGTTCTACGACCTTTTGCACCGTCCAAATCCTATCTTTGGAGATACTAAACTGAACACGAGCTTCACAACCCGTCCTTGTAATGTCCTTTTCTGATGACTCATTTTTTCGATGTCCTTCGCTACTGCAAACTATGTATTTCTGACTTATACTACCATCTTGGCGACGCTTCATCTTGCTCTTTCTAACACTAAACCCAACCTTGCCGGCATAGGTGTTGTACATGTCATAAGCCTTTTCCTCAGATTCAAATGTCATTCCAACTACAGGAGCGATGAAATTTTGCCCAGCTCTATGAACCACCTCCTATACATATAGATTTTCAATTAAAGGTGTACTAAAAATAAACAAAATATCATATATCCTGTACATATATATTATGTAACTTTATTAATTATTTTTGTACCTCATGAGGTCCTTCAATCTCCACTGATCCAGATGTTTGTGAAATGGTGCCGATGGTCTCTACTCCCATGGCAATTGACATGGTGTTCTGTAAAATATGCACACTATATGTCAGAAATCAAACAACATAGAAGAAAAGGCACAAAGATCTAATCAGATAACTGACCTGTGATAGTCGTTGTTCTTCTTCAAGATGACCACCACCAATAGCATCAATTCCTAGTGCACGTGAATCCTCCATGACTGAAGAAGATGGCATCAGGTCTTCTAGGGCTCCAACGCTTGCCATGGTGGCTGCTGGTTCATCCATGGAATCGGCAACGACGGTGGCGACGTGGAACCGCCGCACTGGTCTAGGGATCAAGGCACGATCAATTGGGGCGTCTTGACGGCGATGGCGTGCAACCGCCGCACGGTCTAGGGTTACAGGCACATCAATCGCTGCGTTTTGTATTCCAGCTGAGCCGGATAAGGTAGACGAGCCGAGTTGCGTTTCTGTTTTAGCCGCCGTCGGAGCGTTATTTCGCGATGCCGTACGATGCAAGGCCTGTGCACGTGGCGTGTATCTGGCTGGGGAGAGCACGAGCAGCTCGGTGTGCCCGGGGTGCACCCAATTTTTTTCCAATTGTTGTGCTTGAAGCCGAACCATGTAAACATGAAGCAAAACACTGCTCACGTGTTTGGGCCAATTTAGCACAAAAGGACTGGTCCAGAGAAAGTAGGCCGAACGGCTCACAGTAAGATACCGGCTGGCCGGCTGGGCCATGTGGAAGCAGGACTCGTTGATTTGAGTTGCCAGATTTCCAGATGGCGTGAAATCAAAGTATTTTGTTGAATTTTTTATAGCTGGGAAGCCTGCGATTGTGAAGCAAGCTACGTGTGTTTATATTTCAGTTTGGGATAGTTCGAGCATGATGTTTGTATAGGGACTATATGAAATGGGGATTTGTTATGAACCTAAGTAACTGGATGGAAATTGGGCAGGGAAAAGCAAGAACAGAGGAAGAACAGATAGAGAACACGGCTGATTTCCGTGAGATTCAGACCGTTTCACGGCTGTTACAGAATGTCTGTTCTTCGTTGCCAACTACCTGAACGGATGTTGCATATAACAGCGCAATTGCGCAAACACCCGCTAGTCTGGGCTCATACTCGCCAGCTACTCCAGGCCCCAGTTACAAGGCCATAGCCCATCGCAAAGATACAGTTACAATGCCGTAGTCCATCACACAGATACAGCCCATATCCTAACTGGATTTCAGAAGAAAACGGGTATATATGGTGTCTCACTGTACAAAATTCTGACATTGGGTTGATTGCGGAAATCTGCAGATGCAAAGAAAATCTTTGGGCTAAACTCCTATAAAGACGTGAACATTTGCGGGAGCTGTTCAAGTTTCATGATATCATACTCCGTCAACATGCGAACTCATCTTAATTGGTGCTAAGAGCATTTAGTTTTGTCAAAAAAAGTTATTTTAGCACAAAGTTGCAAACGTTATCGCTTTAGTTAGCACATCTTAATTTGATGCCATGTACGGTGTGGGTAAGTATTGACACCAATATTTTTATCTACATAATTACATATTCTAGCAATCGGTCTTGTGATATTTCTCTCTTCACAGCTCCTTAGCGCCAATGGATCTCAGGATCTAAACTTCCTCTAAACCGACGGCTCACAAGCGCCAACCAAAGCCGCAGGAAAGAAGTCCAATACCGGGTGCACGCATGCAGACAAGCAGCTGGAACTAGAATTGAAGTATCTGAAGATATTTCTTTACCCTTTTGAGGCCGTCGTTTTGTACTCTTTGGCAAGACCAACTCGCCGATTGGGACTCTTCAGAGTTCACATTAAGCATTCTAGTCCCCACAAATTTACAAGTTTTTCCTATTCTTTGCTGACAGACCCAACCCAACTGTTGTAAGACTCTGACTCTGAATGCAAGCTACAAAAACAAGGTTGTTTGCGAAAATATTCCATAATGAAGGACCAACCTGCAAAAAGTAGGAAAAGGTTATGAATCATCACGTAGTCCGATCCTTATCCGTTCTACCCTGACACTTGCCGAGGGCCCGACCCCGCCGCTTTATATAGCTCTCCCGAAGCTAATCCGCTCGCAATCCCGCTACGCGAAAAAATCCACCGATCTCGCTGAAAAAAAAAGAGAGAATTGAAAGCAAATGCTGTCTTGCACCACACTCAGGCCGCTGGTTCCGGCGGTGGCGTCGCCGTCGCCAGCGCACATCACCGCCTGCTCCTCGCCCGCGGCGGGGCGGCGTGCGCCGGCGGCGGTGGTGGTGCGCGCGGTGCGGAACTACGACTCCATCCCGAAGCGGGAGCCCTTCAGCTCCAGCCGCAGCATCCTCGACGAGTTCCTCCGGCAGGACAAGCCCCTCGTCCAGCGCACCAAGGACCAGATCACAGGTACGCCGCCGCTCGGCGGCCGGCCGCGCTGCCCTCGCCTCGTTGCTCCCTGATCTATTTTTCTGAATATTTTTTATGCGTGTCATATGCGGCGTCCTGCCACGGTTTTCTAGTTTAGATTTGTTTATAGCTCTGTTGTCGTCCTGATAAAACTGGAGTACTTTTGGATGGTAGTACATGTTATTTTGGCATAGGATTAAGTAGATTCGTGAGCTACCTTCTGTTGTAGACTTGTAGTTCAAACATTCTTTTCATGTTTTTTTTTCCTTAAAAAAGTCGGAGGGCCATATTATAACTAGCATGTATTAATACTGAACCACAAATCGATTGCTGGTTAGAATGTTCTGGTGAACAAGCACAAGGAGAAAATGTTTTAGTCAGAGTGCTGTCCATTATTCAAAAGCACAAAGCATTTGGAGCGGTATATCTATTTAACGGCATTGGATATTTGGATCTCTGAATTGTTTTTGGGATATGCTTTTTACATACTCATGGTCTCGTTGTAAGATGACATTTGTGTTGTCAAGGTCGGTAAGTAAGCTATCCGCAATGAAAAAAAAGGTCTGTAACTACAAAATAGGCATACTCTTGACCTTGAGCCATCACTATTTGCCGCACTTCAATTGTAAAGCAGAATTGTTTTCATGAGAGGCATAATCTGAATCATGATATCGAACTGTGAAATTTGAGATACCGCAGACTATAGACAGACCACAGATGTAGTACTAGTGGAGAAAGTTAGACAGAATTTTACTGAACTCGTGAACATTTTCAGTTAGCCTTTTTTTTCTGACTTGTGTGGATATCAGGTAGGAATAGGATCTCAGTCTAGTAAGTTTGTGCCTTCGATGGCTGGACATATAAGTTGTTTGCAATTGCAACTACTTAACAATGCTGCATCTTGTTTGTGAACAGATTATTGCACGACCACTGAAGGTGATGAATGTTGCAGCTGTTGGGATGCTTACTTTGAACTGAATAAACTTGAGGTACGTGCTAATTATCCATCAGTCAACAGATATTTGAAATCATCACGTGAGTCACCTGGACTCATCCAACTCTTCACAGCAAGAGCTGCCCAAAGAGGAAATCTCAAGGATGGTGAAGGACTCAGAGGGTGACGTGAGGTACCTGATTCAGAGCATCCATCACCGCTCAGATTTGCGGAAGAAGGTGGCAGAGAAAGCTCATAATTCAGTACCATCAAGCTCCCTGGGGCAAACTGCAAAGCCAAGGCCATTCCCTGTGCCTGATGGGATACCGAAAACGCAGGAAGAGCTCGCCGAAGAAGAGGAGGCGTTGATGCCGGAGTCTCCATATACAAGGTTGCTGAGAAGGATGGGTAGATACCCTGATTGGTACACACCACGCCCTGATCATGAAACTGACTGAATCAAGTCATCCACCATCCAGGTGTCCCTTTTTGGAAGTTCTGCAGCATGATAATCTGAAACTGTTTTTATGGCCTGTGGTAAGATTAGCGTTGCACCTATGCAGATTAGGCTGTATTTTTCTACTTACTAATGAAAACCGGTGTGTGGTTTTATTATGCTGTAAATAGCTGGAACGTTCGGAATATCTTTTACTGGAGGTTCTGTATACTGATGCATCTCTGTATATGTACCATGGAATAAAATCACTGTTTTTTGTTAGAGTTTCTGGTTATTATTATAGTTTTTTCTTGGAAAAAAGATGGACATAACACGGGAAGAATCAGTTTTTGGGCTTGTGTCTGATGTTCTAATGGCAATTCTGCTTACATCTGTTAACTGCGTGTTTTTTTTTTCATTAGTTCGATTTGTTGCAAAATGGGTCGTTCTTCATGCTGAGTAGGAGGGAGGGAGGCATGATTGCATGAAAACAGTCGTCAATGATGAAACTATTACCGGCAGGAAACGGGGAAGCTCTAATGTTAAAATCTACGTGTTCGTCTTCCTGCTCGGCGATCGGCGAGCTGGCCGATTGCCTCATCCGTGCTAAGGGCTCCCCTGTTCCCTGTACGTCGCCGGAGGCCACGGCAGGGGGCAACACCACCACCGCGCTGCAACAAGCAAATACCCCTACCCTTCCCGAAAGTGCGAAACCCCTCACAGCCGCAAGAAACTCTCGCGCGGCCCTGGATGGGCAGTTCCGTTATCTTTTACTCTTAAACAATGCTTCGTTTTCATACTGGCGGTGTTCGCCGGTCTGGAGGAGAGCAGCCAGCCGGCTGGTTCCTTACGCGACACTGTTCATCCATCCAGTCAAACAGTGTTTCCAGCCAGCTGGTTCCCTTACGTGACAATGTTCATCCATCCAGCCAAACAGTATTTCTTTCTCACACAACAAGTCAGTTTCAGCTAAAATTCTATCAGCCGAACAGGGCCACTATATTTTTGACCTTTTACAAACAATCAACAAATCATCAATATTTTAGACACCACTCTAGCAACACTATCCATAATAGTACCTATACTACTGTCAGTATCACATGCCTGATGATCATCATGATGGCTACCACTAATGCCTATTAGCTGGACTAGCACTACAATACGACTAGATGAAGATGATGATGACTACCATTAATGTCTATTAGTTGCGGCAGTGTTCGGCTGAGCTACAAGCCGGCTTGTTCGGCTTCTTTTTTCAGCCGGATCAGGATTTTCTCTCACAACATCCCCGTATGAACAGTGTTTTCCATCATGAACAGTAAAAAAATACACACCGGCCGAACACGGCCTGCACTAGCACTATAATACTACTAGATACGACAACGATGATGACTACCACTAATGCCTATTAGTTGCATTAGGACTACCACTAATGGTGATGGCGAAGATGGTGATCACAGCCTCGACGATTATGATGGTGATGACGATTTTGCTGTTGCTCCTAGTGATTATGATTATGGCCATGGTGCCGATGATGATGGTGATGTTGATGATGATGACCGCTACCCTAACCTCAATCCCACTCCGAAAACTTCACTAATATTACCACCAACGCTATTAGCATATTACCATTGCTACCTATTATTGCTATCATATTGCTATCCAATATATTTTCATGATTCTTTTACTCTTTTTAAACAATACTCCGTTTTCCTACTATTTTTGACTTCTTACAAGCAATCAACAAATCATCAATGTTTTGGACACCACTCTAGCAACACTACCCGTAATACTACCTATACTACTACTAGTATTACATGCATGGTGATCATCGTGATGACTACCACTAATTCCTATTAGTTGCAGCTTTAAAAAAAATTCCTATTAGTTGCACTAGCACTATAATACGACGACAATGATGATGATGATGACGACTACCACTAATGTCTATTAGTTGTGAAAGCATCTAGGCCTCTTGTTGGGTTTCGGTGATTAATGACAATACAAGATTACTATGACTAACGTGTGTTTTGCAGAGATAAAAAGTTAGGTCATGGTAATGGAGATCGATTGGGCAATCATGGATGTCATGACCCTACGATGGAAATTGTTTCGGTTTTCAAAGGATGGACGACAAGGTTAAGGATGACTAGTTCTAAGTGTCGATTGGAGTTTGAGAGACACTTAGAGTAGTTTAGAACTTTGTTTTTCCTTTGGCCGTACTATTAAGGGGGGTATGGACGGGTAGCTTGACTTAGATGAGTCTAGTGAGTTAGGTGTGGTGCACACTTGCTAAGTCTAGCACTAGGTAGCTCCAACAAAGCTCTTAGATCCTATGGAGCAAACTTTATTCACATATGATCGAGAGTTGGAAGTGAATGGAGGGTTAAATACTGACCGGACGCTGGCCGCAGGGTCCGGTCAGTTCATTTGACCAAGGAGTGCGTCTGGCGCGACCGGACGCTGAAGACCAGCGTCCGGTCTACTCCAGTAAGGTTCTAGTGAGGGATATTTGTGACCGGACGCGTCCGGTCAGTGGTGATCGGACCCTGCCAGCGTCCGGTCAACACTTAAACACTGGTGTGCGGGTTGAACTGATCGGAGCGTCCGGTCAACATGACCGGAGCGCCCGGTCACCCCGTAGAGGCACATAACGGTTCATTTTTCAGCCCATATTATAAATAGAAGTTCCACTCGTGTGTGGAGTGACTTTTGCTCATTCCAACAGCTGAAACACACCTTAGAGAGTGCCAAGAAGAGCAAGGTCCTAGTGAGATGATTGAGATTTGAGAATCCCAAAGAGAGCCCTCATTAGAGAGATCAAGAGTAGCAAAGTGTGCATCCATCTTTCTCCCTAGGCTTGTTGTGGTCAAGTGAGAGTTCATGCTTGTTACTCTTGGTGATCGCCATCACCTAAATGGCTTGGTGGTAATTGGAGAGCTTGGTGATCATCCGGAGAGCTTGTAGATGACCCAACTCAAGTTGTGAGCGGTTGTGGGTGATTCACCACGACGGAGTGTCAAAGAATCAACCCGTAGAGAGCACTTGATCCTTGCGCGGATCAAGGGGGAGCTACACCCTTGCGCGGGTGCTCCAATGAGGACTAGTGGGGAGTGGTGAGTCTCCGATACCTCGGCAAAACATCACCGCGTTCCTTCCTCTCTATTTACTTTGAGCATTTACATTGAGCAATTCAATTCTTGTTTTTATAATCCATAGAATTGTCATGCTAGAGTAGGAGTGGAACTTAGGTTACAAGTCTTTTGTATGATAGAATAACTAGAAACACTTTTTAGGCACAAGGGGTTAATTGGGCTAACCGTAGGATTTAATTATTGCAAAGAAATTTATAATTAGCCCAATTCACCCCCCTCTTAGGCATCTTGATCCTTTCAATTGGTATCAAAGCCTCGTGCTCACGTTTTTAAGCTTAATTGCTTAGAGCAAGATGTCTCATGGGGATGGACCTCCTTCTATCTTCGAGGGGATGATTTTCCATATTGGAAAATTCGTATGGATGCGTACCTAGAAGCTCTAGACTTTGGAATACTTAGAGCCGCCTCACATGTCTTCCCAAGACCTAAGAATCCCGCACAACTTTAAGGCGATGAAGTGAACTATGAAAACTAGAATGCAAAGGCTCGCAACACCATCTTTAGAGGCCTTTGCAAAGATGTGTTCAACCGTGTAAGGAACCACAAAGACGTCCATGCACTATGGTCGGACGTTTGTGCGCTCTATGAGGGAACAAAGAGTGAGCGTGAGGAACGCTATCATCTTGTCATGAAAAAGCTCAACTCTTTTGAAATGCTTCCTAAAGAATATGCTAATGAAATATATTCACGTTTGAATGTTCTTGTAGAGGAAGTCAATAGGCTTGGACTTACTCAAATGTCACCATCCGACGTTGTGAGAAAGATCTTGAGTGTCCTTCCCATTGACAAATATGGGCATATTGTGATCGTGCTACATCAATGTGATCTTTTCACCGCTACACCGACATAAATCTTGGAAAAGATCAATGCTCATGAGATGTACATGCACATCACACCTCAAGATGGCTCATCCTCTACTAAGAAGAAAGAAAAAGATTTACCATTTAAAGCTAGTCAAGATAAGGGCAAAGCAAGACTTGAGTATGAGAGTTCAAGTGATGAAGAAGATGAAGATGAAGATCTTGCTCTCATGATGAAGAAAGGCGCCAAGATGCTAAATAAGCTAAACAAGAGTGGCATCAAGTTCGATGGCAAGAAGAAGTTCTTCACAAGCTCTAAGAGAAAGCCAATATCCGAAATGGATTGCTTCAATTATGGTGAACATGGTCATCTAGCACACCAATGCACCAAGCCCAAGAAAGACAAGTTCAAGAACAAGTTCAAGGACAAGAAAGATGACTCAAGCAATAAAGAAGAAGATGAAAAGAAGAACAACAAGCCATACAAGAAGGGAGATGGCAAGAAGAGAGACTTTCACAAGAAAAGAAGAGTGGAAAGGCATACATTGTCGGTGATTGGCTCACGGACATTGATTCATCTAGTGGATCATCCGATGATGATAGTGACAATGAGAAGGTGGCCGCCATAGCTATTGATCTCTCATCTTCACCGCCACCACCGCCATCATCCTCTACACACCTATGCCTTATGGCCAAGGGTGAACGTAAGGTAACTAATAATGATGATAGTAGTGATGATGAGCAAGCTAGTGATGATGATAGCGATAGCGATGATGATGATGATGATTCACCTTCATATGATGATCTTGTTAAAATACTAAGACAATACACTAAGATCATTAGAAAGAGTAGAGCTAAAAATGAAAAATTAGATGCTAAGAATGATTCACTTTTAGCAAAATGTGATACAATAGAAAAGGCTAATGCTGAGCTTAGAGAAGCAAATGATGCTATGACATCCAAACTCAAGGAGTTCAAATCTTCTAAGAAAGAGTTTAAAGATAAACATGATAAACTTGAGTGGGTGCACAATGAGCTCATCACTAACCACAACAAGCTAAAAGATG